TTCAGCAGCTCAAACTGGCCATAGAAGACTCAAACAGCCCCCGGCCTTCAGGTGAGACCACTGCTGGATCTTTTGTTTGTTACATCGCTGCAGGAACACAACCAGATTAGTCATTAGTGGGTTTCCTCCAAAATGAATCTGAGACCACGAACAAACCCAGAGCCAGGCTCCCTGACAATGTAATAATCGGCTGATATGAAGAGGGAGGGAAGTATATATTGATGTATGAAGATAATAATCATAACTAGGCTGCTTTAGAGGTCACTCAAGTAGAATGTCGTTTAACATGAAAACACCATAAAAGAGTCCACAATTTGCATTGTATTCTCCTTTTAGTACATAATGAAGTGTCTGTGTTTCTGTTGTGGACTCTGCAGAAGAGAAGAAGGCTGTGAAACGAAGCTATCAGAAGATCAAGGAGGAAGAAGAAGAAGAGGATGAAGATGATGACTACAGATGCCAAATCTCCCCTCACAACTCAGACATCTCTGCATCTCAACTGGTAGGAGGACAGAGTTTCACTTGGATGGCAAGATGCAGGAGTCCTCATTTCCCCGTTGTATCTGTCCTGGTCTCCTCTCATCCTTCTCCCCTCCTTCTTGGCTCCTGTTAACCTGCTCCTTCTGTTCCCTTCACACCCTTTCAGACAGAAGAGCTTGTGAAGGCGCTGCAGGATTTGGAGAACGCAGCCTCAGGCGACGCAGCAGTTCGTCAGAAGATCGCCTCGCTGCCGCAGGAGGTCCAGGACGTGTCCCTGCTGGAGAAGATTGGCGGTAAGACCCGAGTGCACAATCAGACATGACTTTTCTGGGGCTCATTTATAACCAGTATATGAATATCAAAACATCATTTTCAATTGTTGGGATTTTTTATTGTTTAAATTCAATTGTTAAAATGTATTTCAGCCTACCTGTTTCTTTGCATCATATTGTCAGATACACATACAATGTCAAATGAGCTGTAAAGAACTCTTAATAAAACAATATTACAGTATTCAAAGTCAAATGTATAGGAATCAAGAGTCAGGTGTTAGTTAAGTGTTAGCTTATTAAGTTTATTCCGTGTACAGCCAAATGCCCTATATAGAAACTGAAAAGACATCCCATATTCTGTGACCTTATTGTTTGACATGAATCTAGACAAGGATGCAGCGGACAAGCTGTCGAAGACGGTGGATGAAGCGTGTTTGCTGCTGGCGGAGTACAACGGGCGGCTGGCTGCGGAGCTGGAGGACCGGAGGCAGCTGGCCCGCATGCTGACTGAATACATCAACAGCCAGAGAGACGCTCTGATGGAGAGGGAAAAGAAGCTAGAGGCAAGCCATCGCATACACAAACAGTATACTTTAACAAACAAACAAAGATCTCTGTCAGACTCTCTGTACGTTTCTCCTTTAACAATTGTCATTGGCTCATACTTTTCATTCGTTCCTGGAAAACACACTTTTGAGCAGTTAGCACTTTGTCACTAAAAAGGAATGTTAAACTGTAATTTATACAAACATCAAACACAGTTTATAGACTGACTTTCTGTTGCACCTTTTACTTATTCCAGTTCCAACAAAGTTTTCTTTAAGATCAGGAATTATTGCTGACATTTAAAAAATGTTCGAACAACTGAGGTATTTGAGTTTCTCTAGATCGTATACACCTATTTAATTATAACAGAAATGACTTTGAGGCCAGGTTAATAATAACAACTCATAGACATGATTGCCAAAACTATACAAATAATATGTAACAAGATAGAACAAACTTGAATGATCAATCAATCAATCAATCAATCAATCAGAGGGTCCATGGACAGAGGGTGTCGTATTCATATTCTATTCAAACTGTAAAGTCCACTGAGACAAATGTAAAATGTGTGATATTGGACTATATCAGTGGTTCTCAAACTTTTTCTGTCAGGCCCCCCCTTTGAAAAAAAAAAAAAAGTCGGGCCCCCCAACACAAATAGTCAGGCTCAGTGGCGGCGCCAGAGATTTATTTTGGGGGTGCTGTGGGGTAGCTTGACATTTCATAGAGGGTGCTCAAACATTTAGGGTTTCCGGTCGCGGTCGCTACAGTGGAATGTTCTACTGCAACACCACACACACACACACACACACACAGTGCACCCGCTACTGTCACAATGAAGGCTCGATATCAGCTCACGGCATATAGGTGTAAGCAGGGGTAAAGTGCTATTTTTATAGGTGGTGTGTGGACCTCACATAGGGGGGTCCGGGGCAAGCTCCCCCGGGAACATTTTTAAATATTGAAGTGAAAAGCATCAATCTGGTGCACTTTGAGAGCAAAATGAAGAGATCTATGGACACATCTCTCAACACCCAGATGAAACAGAACTGTAAACAGATTTACTTTTTCTTTATGGATATTTTACAAATCACTCCCTTTTAAACTTTATTCTTTTTTTAATAGTATTTCATACCTGTTTTAATTTATTCTCTTATTTTTATATAACTATAATTATCATATAAATGTGTGCCTCGGAAATAATTGTTTACATTAATGTTGACCAAAACGTTTGAGACCCACTGAGATAACACTGATTTGATATACTTTATTAATCCCTGTGGGGAAATAGTTTCTCTGCATTTGACCCATCCTAGTGTTAGGAGCAGTGTGCTGCCATTTTGAACGGCGCCCGGGGAGCAGTGTAGGGAACGGTGCCTTGCTCAGGGACACCTCGGTAGCACTTGGTCTTGCCGGGACTTGAACTGGTGACCTTCCAGCTGCCAAGCCAAGTCCCTATCAACTTCGCCACCACTGCCCCGCCAAACTGAGAGAGTCCTTTAGCTCACTGAGGGCTCTCCTCCACCTTGTTGTTGAAAAAACTCCTTATATCCGTTAGCGTAGCTCGCTAGCACCAGAAGCTAACAACAATGATCTCCGGTACCGGTGCGCTCTCTCTCTCGCTCGCGCACGCACACAAAATGGCTCGTTCCACACACACAGAGCCAAGCTTTAATGAAACACAGAGACCCAGACGTAATAGTACTGTACTGTATGATATTATTTTCAAATCAATAATTTTTCAAAATATGTGTTTTTAAAAAAAAACATTTTTTTTTTTTAAATAACCATTTTTACTCCTGGTCTCTCGCGCCCCCCACTTTGAGAACCACTGGACTATATAAATAAACTTTGAGTGACTTTAATTATAAACTGTAACTGCAGTAACTGTAACTGTAATATATTCTATGTCCTCTCCTCCTCCGCAGGAGTATAAACAGAAGCTGGCGAGGGTGACCCAAGTTAGGAAAGAGCTCAAGTCCCACATCCAAAGCCTCCCTGACCTGTCCCTCCTGCCCAACGTGACGGGGGGTCTAGCCCCGCTGCCCTCGGCCGGAGACCTCTTCTCTAACGACTGAGAGGCATTGGTCCAGACAAACTACCCCCACGCCTCTCCCCACCAAACCCAGCCGCCCGTATGATTCACAGAACACTTCCAGCTGTGTCACCAGCCAGAGGACACGTGTGGACACATCTCACCTGCTGACTCCTGACCTGCAGGACAACAGGGAGGCAGGGACACTCGAAGCAACATTTGGTTAAACCACAACGCTCTGCAGAGGAGAACAGAGACTCTGTCAGCCTGGATTCTTCCGGCACTTTCTCGATCAACAAGGATTCCACTCCACCAGCTTAGAATGAGTTTGCTTCCTGTTTGTTTTTATTTTGTATTTAACGCTGGAAATGTCTGGGCTCTATGAGGAGGGGCTGGGTTAAGAAGAATCATAGATAGACATACAGTTTGGCTGTGTCAATCAAAAGTGTCTTTCTGTGTGGTATGTTGTGGAGTCAGTAAGCAAAGGTGGGCCATTTGCTCTCAAACCTCTCAGAGGTTACACTGTGAAGAGGATTTACCATTTGTTAGTTTTATTTTTGGGGTATTAAGTTTGTCGTTTTTTTATCGTCCCGTAGGGGTTTTTGATGCGTGTGTAAAATTAGGGAAGATGTCAGATTGGGTTCAGTGTACGTTGCTTTCTGTTTGCTTCACGAGCGGTCAACAGCTGAGTCAGCACTGTCATTTCAGTAATACTTCATAGACACAGAGACTTCATGTTTTGTCCTCATAGTTAGTCAATCGTCCTGCTCTGTTTTTCCTGTCCCTGATTGAAAGCTTTTTCTCGTTTACAGACTAAAACTTTGCAAGTCAATATTTGTTTTCATATATTCATTTGGACAGAAGCTTGAATAATAGTAATTATGTAATAAGTGTGTACTAGACAAGGTTTAAGTTTTATAAATAAATCCTGGAAGTTTGAGGAAACAATTCAAAACATTGTTTTCTTTCCAATAACCTCCCTGGTCTTTAAATCTATGACACGATGCCATTAGAAAAACACAATATCTTCTTTAGTTTGTGAGGAGTGGGCAGTATGAAATATAATACATTCAAGATGATGATGAAGATATTCTATGTACCACAACAAGTGTGTTATTATAAAAATCAAACAGGCATCTCTTGCAATGTGAAATAGATTAAAGCTAACATTCTGCAGCTACATTCTGAAGTGTTTTAATACATACAATATTAAAAGGATTAATATGAATGTATACGTATTGCTCAGTCCTACCTGTGTGTAGACGTACAGAGAAGTAGCAACACATTTACTGCACTTCCTTTCTCAGGTGTGTTGGTGAGGAGACAAAGCATTCATATTACAAACCCCTGAGATTGTGTCAGGAAAAGCAAGTCCTTTCCAAATCATTTTCTGAACAGTTATTTTGCCAAGTCCTAGGCAATATGTGTCAATGTCAAGCTCATATTTGGTTTTAACTTGTCTGTATACAGAAAAACATTTGATAATTTTTATAAACGTAATAAAAAGGTCAGAGTTTTTTTTACTTAGACGAGCTTCTCTTTTTGTTACAATTTAAGAACCTGATCGTGGCTCCTGCTGCCGCTGAGGTGAGTGTTTTCTAAAGTTGAAGAAGATAACATTTGCTGCTGCAACACGCCTGGGGGAGAATCGCTGCTTCAAATGCTCTGGAAGACTTCTGGAACCAGAATATCAAACAGCAGGTCAAACTCACTTACATCATCTTCAGCAGCACAGAACAGATATTTGAGACTTTTTTGTATGTCAGATGAACTTTCATGTGGCTTGTTAAAGAGTAAAGAACAGTGAACAGAGGAAGCTTTGACCTGTTGTTTGGTTCAGCCTTGAATTCATCCTCATTACCGATGTGTTATGAGTGGATTATACCATTTGAATAGGTCATTTCAGTTCATTTAAATAGCTTCCATGTCATGTGCTCATTGACTCTAAATATATTCCATATATATTTTCTACACTAGACACACCTCATTCTTTAGATTGTATCCACCTATTTTATATGAATATTATAGGCCAATTGATAAATATGTGTATGTTTGTGTGCAGCAGATACCTTAGGACATATGCCATTTGCAGATTGTGTTAATACAGATAATCATTTAAAATAGAAGAGGCATTGAAATCCAATAAAAAGAAGTGTCTTATTTGTTCATTGTTATAAAGTATGTCGTTTTTTCAGATATTTTGTACATATATAAAAAAGGCCTTTATAACAGAACATTTGTTACCATGGGAACCACATAGAACTTTGGAACCTGTTTGAGATTGTTTGAGTTTACATATGACCCATTCTAGAACCCTGTGAAGCAGTCTACACCCTCAGAAGATTCAGGGGAGTCATTGGTTGAGAGCCCAGAGCGCAACTTGCACTGAAGATTTAAAGTGTAGAAGTTCTCCTACTGAAGGGCAAAGATGACCGTGTACAACGAGCTGCGTCTTCAAAAAAAGCTTTGTGATGCGGTGATCAGAGTGGAGAATGTTGAGTTTCACGTGCACAAGATCATCCTCTGTAACTGCAGCCCGTTCTTTCAGTGAGTTCCTTATTGGGTGTTAACAGAGGGATACTAGTTATACTTTCAATAAGCAGAAAAACAGCAGCAGGCTTAGCAAAGAGAACTTAAAGGTCACCTACTATGCAAAATCCACTTTTTCCTGCCTTTTATACATAAACATGTGTCCCCTCTGTGTAAAGAGATTCTCTCTCTTTTTGTCCTGATCCATTTATATAAAAACCTGTCTGAAAATGAGCTGATCAGATTTTGGCCACTTTATGAAGTCATAACGATTTGTTTGGGTCGTGTAACCATTAGCCAATAACCCCCCCCCCACCTTATCACCTGAATCTCCTCCTAGAGCACCATTGTGTTCTTTTTAACCAAATATCTCTCAGAGGGGCGTGGGGAGTGGCTCCTTATTTTCATCTAAAGTAACAGACAGAGAATCAGCACTTTTGAAACAGGGCTGAAACAGAGGGGTTTATGGGATGCATGATCTGTTTGGTATTTGGAGCCAAACACTTCAGAGACATGTTTATATATATATCTGAGACCTATAATATATTGATGAAAAACAGTATAATAGAGGACCTTTAACAAGAGAATCACAGAGAAGATATATTCACACATTAAAAACAGATGAACATTTTAAAAGAATGGTTGAGTTTATTGAGTTTGTACTAAAATATAAAGTAAATTGCCACACTTAAGCATATAGTACTTGTAAAAGCTTATTTTTCTTTTGGATTAGGATTTTTTTTTTGTGCAGATGGCTGTCCTGTGATGATGATGATGATGATGATGATGATGATGATGATGATGATGATGATGATGATGATCAGGATATTTAATAGGACATTTATACACTGATTAACAAATAGTTTAAAAATAATTTCAGTGTGACTATTCAGTTGAATTTATGATTTCCTATATTTATGCGTAAATAAATTGGGACTGTGTGTGTTGCTGGTATAACACAACACTGAATTGATATGTATCCAGTATTAAGGGCATCGTTTGAGCAAAAAGAGAAATAAATTACATTTCAGATGCCATCCCATCTGTACGGTGAATGACCTCTCCTGTTATTCTGTAATCTATACAACCAGCACAGCCCCTAGTAGACCCCCCCCCCCCCCACACACACACACACACACACACACACACACACACACACACACACACACACACACACACACACACACACACACACACACACACACACACACACACACACATACAACAACACATACAACAACACAGACTATTACACCCCTTGTTGTTAAACACCAACCATGTGCAATATGTGCAATATATATATATTCCATGAATAACTGTGCAATATGGCTACTACATCTTCAGAACTGTTACAGGCTGTGTATTTTTGTATTTTTGTAAATTGTGTAATTCTTTTTTAAAACTTATTTAAAAACATTTATTTTATCTTTAATATTTTTTTCTGTTTTTTATACATACTTCTTGTTAAACATTAAGCTGTCTTTGGCTCTTTTTCTGCTGGAACAAATGCAAATTCTGAAAAGTGATATATGAGGTTTATATTTATATTATTATTTTATGAGAAGACCATTTAAAAAGATAACCTTGTTTTGCCTCCATGCTGCCTCGCAGGGTCCTGTTTACTCACTGGTCCACTCCAGACTGTCAGGTGTTTGACATTCCCAATGTGTCCGCTGACGTGATGAAGCTCCTCATTGACTTTGCCTACACTGAATATGTTCCAGTCACACAAGAAAATGTGCAGGAGCTTTTTATAGCAGCAGACCGGTACAATGTAATGGGCATCGTACGAGCCTGCTGTGACCTCCTGGAGCAGCAGCTGGCCCCTCAGAACTGCATCGGCATCATGAAGTTCACAGACATCTATTACACCCCTGAAATGAAGAACAAGGCTTTCCTTTTCACACTAAATCACTTTGAGGAAGTTGTTGCCGCCTCAGAAGAGTTCATGCAGCTCTCTGCACAAGAACTTGGCCAAATCATTGGGGATGACAGACTCAATGTAAAGCAGGAGAAAATTGTGCTAAGGGCCATCCTTGGTTGGATCTCCTACTCAACTGGGGAACGCAGACAATACATCTCTCTTCTTTTGCCCAAAGTAAGTGGGGAATCACTAAATCATAAGTGAATTATGGATTAGAGAACATGTAAATCCAACTTCTCTCCTCATGTCTCTAGGTCAGGTTGGCTTTAATGAGTCCAGACAACTTCATAGAAAGCGTCAGCAACAACCCATTGGTGAAGGAATGTCAAGATTGTGAACCAATTATCCTCAGGACCCTGAATGCCATGCTAGACCTCCGAACCATGAGCTACTTTGATTCTATTCACTACAACCCTTTGGCCCGTCCACGACTGCCCTATGCCATCATGTTGGCTGTTGGAGGCTGGAAAGGCGGTGTGCCCACCAACGCCATCCAGGCGTACGATGTCCGTGCTGACCGCTGGGTCAATGTCACCAGCACCCAGGGGGGTCCCTGGGCCTACCATGGCACGGTGTTTCTCGATGGATCGGTTTACTGTGTCGGTGGCTTTGACAGAGTGGTGCGGCTCAGCTCTGTGCACAGATTGGACCTGGTGACGCGCACCTGGCAGGAGGTGGCACAGATGCATGTGAGACGCTGCTTTGTCACTGTGACTGTGATGGACGGGTTCATATATGCCATGGGAGGTTACGATGGAGAGGATCGACACAATACTGTCGAACGCTATCAACCCAGAGCCAACCAGTGGACCGTAATTGCGCCCATGCACGAGGAGAGAAGTGACGCCAGCAGTGCAGCCCTCCATGGCAAGGTGGGCGGAGCTAAATAAAACAAATGATATTTATGTTTAACAAGCCTCACTAGATTATTATCCAAATTAATATTGTTATCAAGCCCAAAAACAAATGCCAAAAAAGTATTTATTCAATACTTTATGATCCTCATATTATGCAGTGTTGCTTATTTTTCTCTCCTAAAAGGCTAGTTTGCTCCCCAATAGTGAGAAAATAGCATTTAGTCTATACAAACACTGAATTCCTGCCTTCAGATTCCTTATCACTTTTATTTCCTCCAGGTGTACGTATGCGGTGGCTTCAATGGAATTGACTGCCTGTCAACGGCTGAATGTTACGACCCAGAGAGCAACCAGTGGACCCTGATCGCCTCCATGGGCAGTTGGCGCAGCGGAATGGGGGTTGTCACCTATGCAGACCATGTCTTTGCAGTAAGCACATTAAGCACTGACTATACTCAAATAAAACGGAAAAAAGTCCTTTTATGGCAGAAATGTTCTCAAATATAAAAACATATTGCCAAAAATATCAACTATAAAATAGGACAACAGAAACATAAACATAGATGCAGTCCTGACCTCACATTTCCCATTTTCTTTAAAGGTTGGTGGCTTTAATGGAACCAGCCGTCTGCGCTCTGCTGAGGCCTACAGCCCAGAAACAGACACCTGGCATGCTGTTCCCTCCATGCTGAGCTGCCGCAGCAACTTCGGCATCGCGTTGATCGATGACCGTGTCTTTGTGGTCGGGGGCTTCAACGGCTCCTCCACCGTCCGCGCCGTCGAGTGCTTCGATGTTGAAACGGGTGAGTGGTCTGATGCTCGAGATCTGGAGACCTCCGGCAGCGGCATGAGCTGTTGCGTGGTGCACGGACTGCCCAACCTGGCCGAGTACGCTTCACCTCATCACTCTGTGACACTCTCCCAGGTGGAGGAGCGCGAGGTGGAATGATGACTTCCATCTGACTATGAGCTGTGTTGTTGTGAAATAAATGTTTGCATCAAACTACAGCAGTGCTACTTTTACTAGTATTAATTAACATATTATCAGTTGTGTGACAAATGGTCAGCTAAAGGCAAAAGCTTATAAGAACTTTGATCTCCCAGATGTACAGTGAAAAAAACCAGTCCAAATGAGACTTGGTAGTGAAGATTCATGAGTATTTGATATGTGTTACACAAACACTAGTGATGTCAGCTCCATATACAGTATATATTCTATATAGCAATATGGTTAAATGTATCAATTTTGAAAATGAAAATAAGTTTGATACAAAACTTTGGTCATCATAATAGACATATTACCGTAAAATGATGTAATGTCAGTAAAAATCAGCTCCATGAACCACAAGGCATTATGTGACATGGCATTTATTTTCACACTGCAATTACACAAACACACCCCAAGCCTCAAAACATTTTATATTGAAAAAACATTTGTTAACTTATCGGAAATTGTTTTTACCAATAACAAAATGTTTTCTAAACAGGGGAGGGAAATGTTTCTCACTTCAACAAACTTGTATTTGGTCACATTTAAATGTGACCAAATACAAATCCAATCCAATCCAATCCACTTTATTTATATAGCACAGTTTAAAAACACAGGGTTTGCCAAAGTGCTTCACAATGAACATAACATTATAATAAAATATAATATTACACGAATAGATAAAAAGCACACATAAGAAAAGATAAAAAAGCACACATAAGAATAAATACAAGGCACATAAAGGCTATGGACAGACAGTAAAAGCATACAAATAGGTAAGACATAGCTCAGACTGACTGGTAAGCGAGGGAAAAGAGGTGGGTTTTTAGGCGGGACTTAAAAACTTCAAGAGTGAGCGACAATTTAACATGAGGGGGCAGGTCGTTCCAGAGCCTGGGGGCTACCGATGAGAACGCTCGGTCTCCCCTGGTCTTTTTTTTTGTTTTCATAAATACGTTACGTGATTAATTATTTAAGTGAAGTTAACTTCTTAATGTCAATATATTATAGTTTTAAGGCTTACTAAAGAAGCACTGTACATAATGATTAGTGGATGTGGATCATTGTATTTCATCATGAAATGACTGATTTTTGAAAGTATAACAACAAATCCTAGGACAATATGTGGATATACAAGGGGCTTAAAAAAAGGCATTACACTGTATTGGCTTCGGTACTGGCTGATTCTTTCACAACAACATTGATGGAGCTCATGATATTCTTCAGTTTGTCGCTATCAAAGTTAACCAGCAGCACACAGGGGCCTGCGCTGGTGGGACTGAACTCAAAGCTGGCCTTGGCCTCCTGTTTGGGGCCCACAGCTTCAATCCTGCCGGAATCACAGACAATAGACATGAGCATCGCCAGACAACATTTTTTATCCAACATAACATATCCCACAGATCACAGAACATCATCTTATATTGTTCTGTACCAAAAGGTGTTTGCACTGAAACAAGAATCATTGAGTGACAGTTTTTATGGAGAAGGACACTGTGGTTTCGGGGTGTTTTTGTACAAGCTTTGCACAAACACCATCTTGTACTTTAACATTTAAAGACACCTTAATATGAATTACAAGTAAAGCCATGCGGTGAAAAAACAGAAAAGCTCAAATCAATATTTGAAGCATTAAACTGCTGAAAACAGTTATGATGTAGTCGACATACCTGGCAGTTAGGGGTTTGCCCTCAGTGAGGCCGACCCCCTCCACGGTGAAGCTGCAGTCCTGCAGGTGCTCTGGGAGAGGGTTCAGGAGGGTCAGTGAGGCCGTTACATTCTGCCTCACTGTGGCCTCTCCCAACAGCTGCAGAGAGGGGTTCAGGTACAGGTTTCATAATGTGAGAGGTGGTATAGGGTTGTAAATAATTAAAATCATGTAATTAAGTACCTTGGGGCAATACATAATGACAGGGATCTCTAGTTGAATATAAACTATTCTGCGATCTGCAATCAAAGCTACCAGAATCACATTTCAAGGTTAAATTCCCCCCTGACATTTAAAAAAAGCGTAAGTTTGAGATTTCACTTATTTTCCAATGTCTTGTTATACATTGGAATGCTTTATGGTAAAGGCTTCAAAGCTGAATCAGAATGATTTAACACTAACTCTAAAAGATGTGTGGCTTTCTAAACTGTACTATCTTATATAAACAATGTATACAAGGGTTCAAGGATAATATGTTTTCATTCACACACGACTGCACAACAAAATGCATTTGTAGCCTAACCCTTTAAGCTACAGAACAAAAACAAATTGGATTTTTTTTAAATTATTATTAAATATCTGCTGTACTTTAAGTTCATGTATGCTGAAATCTTGCAACTCAAACTACTCAAAATTATTTATTTATATTTAGTTTTTATAAAATTTGAATCTGGAATACAGGTCTTTCACCTGTGCATTGCCCGTACCTTGATGTGTATTTCTGGCTCGTCCAGCACGATGGTCTTCTCAGCCTTATGATAATTTGTGATCTGCTTGTCGATGGTGATGGCTGACACCTGGATCAACCTGTCGGAGGTGATCGCTGATCCATAACGCTCATACTCCAGTCTGAGGGACATGCGCCTTTCTGTAAAAATCACAACATACCTTAAGTTATTACAACTATTTTGATGCAATTACACCAGGGTTTGTGACTTGTTGTGTTCCCTGACCTTCTCCAGAGGGCACCTCCACTTTGTCTGAAGTGAATCCGCAGCTGTCTCCCAGTTTTCCGTTGTAGCCGACAGCCTTGGCGGAGAACAGGAAGGTGCAGATCCTCGCGTCCACGCAGTTGTTGGTGAGGATAGCGTGCACTTCAAAGTCCGAGCCCACTATCATGTTATCAGCCAGTTTGATCTTAAATGAGAGTTATAGGATTTTTTAAATGTCATTCATTGAATAATAAAGACATAAGAATAACATAAATCTCAATAAGTTGTGAATGATGTTGAAAATTATGATTCTTTGATCCTTGGAAAAGAATATGCTGATAAAACTGTTTATTCATTTCAAAGCTGATGCAGCATAGACACAATTCATTTGATGTATATATTTCTATAAAGTGATACTAAATTAAATATATTTCAACTTTTGAACATGGCGATTTTCTGCTGCTTTAAAAACGTTCATACATAAATTGTGACATCTCTTGATGTACAATTTATGCACACGTTTATAGTTATTTTCTATGATATATGTATGTATGTATGTATGTATGTATGTATGTATGTATGTATGTATGTATGTATGTATGTATGTATGTATGTATGTATGTATGTATGTATGTATGTATGTATGTATGTATGTATGTATGTATGTATGTATGTATAGATGGGAGGCTGTGGCTCAGTGGTCTAGTGTGTTGATCTTTGTGAAGCACCTTCAGATGACGTTGTTTTTAAAGTGTGCTAAATGAAATGTATTATTATTTATCTTCGACCATCCCCACTATGTCGTTGTGTCCCTGGGCAAGAGACTTCACCCCAAATAAAAATAATTTGGGGACTGCCCTCAGTATTGAATGTATGTAAGTCGCTTTCGGTAAAAGCGTCTAACAAGTGAGATGTAATGTACTATAATGTACAAGCGGTTGAAAAATGACACCTTGATATGGAGCCCCTGCTCTTCTCCTCGCTGCAGTAGCTTGTTGTGATGCTGAGCCTTCTCATACACCCGCCTCTCCTCATTTGAGCCTGAAAACCATCAGAGGTAATGAAACAGTGTTTTAGCTCCTGGGTCAACAACAGGCTTTTCCCTTCAAATGCGACAAGATTGCATTCTCAAATTGAGGTAGTTGGGGTATTCTACATTTAAACAGTTTGATATTTATTTAAAAAATACATTGTGATTCTGTGTTTAGAGTCTTGAGTGTGTCTGTGTACATGTGACACAGCAGTACCTTCTGAATACTTGTACTGGTGTGTGATGTCGTGTCTATCATCCGAGCCCACAGCTTTGGTGCTGATATACTGTCCAACAGATTTAGTTGATCCACTGAACTGTACGAACTTTCCACTTGACAGGCGCACCAGGTCCACAACATCTGCATTAACCTGACCCAACACACGGCGTGAGATGACCATCAGTGAACATAAAGACATTTGTCAACAGTCATTGATTACAACTATTACAGCCAATAGCGAAAACTTACCTCAGCAAAAATAAAGGGAGCGTCATATTTCTTTGTCAGCTCTCCTTCCCTGATGGCCTTCAAAGAGCACGGTCCGCAACAGAAAACACCTGATGGCATCACACATCCAGAGACAGAGTCAGACACAATGCAAGGATTCAGAAATGTGACTAGGCATGCCATTGACTATGACCTATCTTTGTAGCACTTCCAATACAGTTATGGTTGGAGGTATTCCTCATGATGTATGTTTTTGTTCAGCAGTTGGTCTGCCAAGGCAGTCCTTAGTCTTATATATATTATATTGTGTTTGTTCAAACGGTGTATGACTGATGATATGTGAATGTCTCTTAATGTCCACTATGTTTGTATATGTACATGTATGCTGAACTGCAGGACGGAGTCCAGAACAAATTTCCTTACGGGGACAATAAAGTATATCGTATCGTATCGTATATATGGGACTTTTTGAGAAACAAGTCAAGCAATTGGACATCAAAATAAGAGTTTACCATCACTTGTCTCCTGTGGGGTAGGGTCACTGGTTTGCCAGCCATCAAAGTCTGTCCCCAAATCAGGACGAGTCATCCAGCTGTCCACCCACACATGGAAGTTCCTGGTAAGATAAAGGATTCTGTTACTTGAATGTGGAAAAATCACAAGTACATGTGATCATGGAACATTTTGGAAGACGGAAAAAGTAAAAAAGACGTGTTCAGAAATGACAGTTGTGGTTATGCATGTATTTAAGGTAATAACCCCTTACCATATTGAATCACCATTTGACATTCTTTCACCATCTTCATCATACAGGTTTTCTATTATCAGGTTAGCGTCAGTGTC